GATAGGTTGAAGACCAGCTCTTCGTCATAACAAGCGCAAACAGTAAAAAGCGATATAAACTAGCTTTAAGCAAGCTTACTGCTCATGAACGGACTAACCACAGAATCCAAGCTGTTTATAAAACTCATGCTTCGCTGAGGCTTGCTTCAAACTTCAAGCAGACCTCTCACCCCTTGAGCCATCGCCTCTCTTCCCCCGACAGAACGTTTAAAACAAACTTTCCATTCTCGACCATGTCAACCACGACGTCCTTGGATTTGCATGTTTATGAAAATATCGAGCCTCAAACCGAGCGGGGTCCACCTTGTCACAGCAACACTCCGCCGGACGAACCAGCTCAAGCCAGTTAACTGTGTTTCATCCCGGACAGGTCATGCAACATATGGGTGACTTTGCCGGCAAGATGGACGACATTACGTCGGCTGTCATAAATCATCGATCATCAACGCACGTTCCATTCCGACCGACTACGTTTCGGTGAGTGCGTATCATTCCGCTGACGTCAGGGCAAACAGCGGTGGCAGCAGGGTGGTCAACGTCCGTGCGGTTGACACGCGCCAGCCGTGTTCCCAGGAGAGAAGAGACACAGAGAGGCACGGCCGGTGGCGAAACCGATGCACAGCGTAGTCAGTAGCCAGATGGTCGGATAGCGCAACAAGAAACTCGAAAGATCGGTAATCTTGCTCGGAATTAATATCGAGAGAAAAACAACCGTTTTACTAAACATAACGCAGAAACACGGTCATTCGAGTGACTGACCGACACGAGTATTGACTGAGGTACCTGGTCAATCACCCGACTGATCGACCACGTTATTACAGTGGTTAGTAAAACCATTTTGTGCTGATTTTCGAAACGAAACTAGCCGTAATATCTTTACAGAGTGAAATTGCACTGCACTTAAATCTGCAGATAAGGCTTGCCGTTCTTTATGAAACATATAACCAGAATAGACCATTATAAATAAGAACTTTAACTGCTTAGTTAGCCATGACAAATCAAATGCCGTTCATCGGATGAACTCGAAAACTGATCGAACCGATATTGGTAAAACATACAGAATCCTCAAAGAACGAATAAAAGACCATCAAGCGGAGGAGGAAAAATCGCCCAGCGCATTATTTACAATGCAAACATAACTTTAATAGTAAAGACATCAGCGTCCCTGACGGGTACCAAGACAGGCTCGGCAGGAACTCGTTCCCGTTCTTAGGTCGTACATATCATCCTCAGCGCGCAGGCCATCAGGAATCTTCAGGCTGTTAAACTGAGTTATTGAACATATGTTCCTTACAATTCAGTTTTTTCATATTCTTTCTAAATAGCCAAAACGGTGACTAGATCTGTTCCTTTTACTCTCATATGGTATAATGCCAAATGTCATTGTTTTCTTGTACATAGTTTTTGTACGCTAAAGAATGGTGATGATACTCAAGCAATAAAATATCATTCACTTCACCCTTATTAAAGAATCCTTGCACATTTCGCTAAACAAGAATAAATGATGTACGGGAAAGAATTACATAGGTTGTATTGCCATCTGTTCTGCCTGGAAATCTATAACGGGAATCCGTCGTTAATTCAAAATTTCATCCGAGGTTTCTCAAGTTTTACTTCACGACCTCGTTCATCTATCTTTCCATAAAATTATCTTATTTTTGTTGTAAATACGCGCCTTTTCCTTCACACTACTGGTTGCATTGTAATTTTTTCTAATTGTATCGCAACTGCTTATGTGACGATCGATCGTCACTGTTTCGCGATACACTATGAAGATGAGGCGTCGGATTAAAGGGAAAATTCTCTCTCGCGTCAAAAGCCACTGCTTGGCGAGAGATAGAGAATTTAGTGCAGAAACTTTGTCATTCAACATGTCGGGCAATCAGACATGCTAAAACATCGACATTTCAAGTTTCCTATGATCATTCCTCATTCAAATAACAGGTCCGTAAAAACAAAAAATGACAAAGACAAAGGAACATGTTTGCAAAGACGGAATGAGACGTCTTGATGCACGATGGGAGCAGATCGCCGGCTGGTTGCAGTCAACGCTCGATGCTGCGATCGTCGCTTCGAATCTGTAAAAATGGACAGTGGTCATCTGCATCAACTTTCTGATTAAACCCATCATCTGTGAGTGAGACATGACACCGTTGTCAAGTTTGTGAATTTCTGATTGCGAATCCACCGTGATGATTGCCCGAGTTCAGCTTCTGAAAATTCAACAGGTTCAGACTCGGGATTACATGTTTACTGAACCTGATTTAACGAGTTCGCTCTATCGTCAAATAAAAGTACAAATTGTGAAATTGATAATTTCGACATAAGCTTAATATTGTGCTCATACAGAACTTTAAAGTGTAAAGTGAGAGACGGATCAAACGACTGATACAGAAACCACTTATCAATTATAAAAAAGAATGCGCACTCACACAGCCGCTGACAATGACATAGAAGACCTCACACAGTCACCACCATGGAACGTAATCGGAAATTTACAAGTTCGACAACGGCTTCGCACTCTACTCACAAAGAGTTTTGCAGATATATAACACGACGGGTTAAATCAAACATATGATGCATATGACCTCCGTCCACCGATACAGATTCTAAGCAGCAAAAGGTTTGTGCCAAAATGGCATAGACCTTCGCGAAGATGACATAGCAAGAGTAAAATGCTGCTTCAGTAAAAATGACGTTTCAAAGGTCCTACACAGGGAACAGGCAGAAGGTAATGTCTTCGTCATAACTGCAGACATTAAAGACAAACAGTACTGGTCACCTTGGCAAATGGCAAATAACGGCTGTTTGCCTGCTGCTTGCAGAACGGATAGCAATTCTAATAAAGACTTTACACCCCCGTCTATTTTCTGTGACTAGAACACTGAAGCGTCATTTAAGTGAAAATAAACCTGAATAAAAATCATACTACTGAATGCAATTCTACAATCTGCAGAAAGGCAGACATTTATTCAGCACTTAAAATTACGCAGCTACATCTATCGCACTGCACCTACGTGCCAAAAAATGATAATCCCTCGTTTATTCACACGAAATTCGTCAATGCCTGATGGTGGGCTCAAGAAGAACAACCAAAAGTGTTCTGAAACCTAAAAGAAGAGGATAACCTGTAAGACACAAAGACCGGTACAGCTGTAGTCCATCCATCTGCAGCATTAACGACAGTGCTGATTTTAGTGGATCCTGTGTGAGATATCCACCCTGTTTAACGAAATATTTTCTCGCAGTTTGCTAACTTGACGTTATGCATAGCCTAAATTACTGTTTTGTCGTGTCCATGCAGGCCGCTGGTTCCATGACGTTCTCTAAGTCAGGTTTCACTGTATCCGTCCGGGGCTTGATTTTGCTCCTCTTCTGCTGACGCCACCCCGAGACGACTGCAACGCTTTAGACACAATCCTTTCATGGGAGGGGGTCACCGAAAACAAGTCAAAGCCAACGCACCCCTGCTCTTGGATGACAGTTTGGCAACTTCTCAGAATTCTGGCAACATGGCGTTCTGGCACCGGCGTCTGAACTCGACACCCTATCGAGAGGGCACATTAGCAGTAGGATATAGGGGCACCAATGGTCGAATACATCTAACTTGCTGATCGACGTCTTGTCGATCGCGTGGAGCGAAAAACATTCGTAGGCTGCAGCAAAACCCATCTCACAGTGACCTGCAGGTACCTGACGCGTTCTACTTTCGTTTTGAGGCCGATCTCCCGACGTCTCCGGCGAAATATGCGTAGCTACAAAAGTACTCGTCTTGCTTCCTGCTGGTAAAATGTATGCAACAATTTCATCTTTCGATTGGACGCCCGGCAACATGATGGCACCGAAATACCTGAAGGCGAAAACTTTTTCGACGGTGCTTAAGTCAAATCTGATTGGTTGTTTATCTCCCTCTGAAGAAAGACTGCTGTTCTTGATGCATAGATATGCAGTCGAACAGACGATACCACCTTTTTACAGTTATGGATTGTTCGCATCGCTACATAATCCGATGCCGACAGGGCGATGCCTGTGCAAAATCGAGGTCATTGATAAGAAAACTGCGGCTGACCTCTACACCGCCGCTCCCTCAAGTGCCCTGCGTAGAATCTGAGTAGACACGAGATACTTTTTCAACGAATCCGGACTGATGAACTGGAAACTACCTTCCGTATTTATTCTGAACGAAACATGACTAAATGAACATTCGTCATGTTCGACCCTGAACATATGATAGCTTTGTGAATGAATGAATAAACAAATGCATTCGCATCGGCAACCAGCTGCACCTGTATAGCAGAACCTGTAAAGGCGACAAACGATGAACGTCTAACCGACCGCGTGTGTACTAGCCTTGTCTTGGCAGCAACAGGACGACGACGGAAATGCGGCCGTGAAACCTCGAATTAGCGATCTGATGAGAATTTGAAATAATTAACCGCAAACGAGCAGACGACGCAGACAGTTCAAAACGGAACACAATTCAGCGCAACAGCCGTTCAGTAGTACAATTCATTGCTCTAATCATCGCAACGTATTCTGGTCGGTCTAGCCTTCGAATTCGAATCTTGTCTTTCTCAAGATCTGACTAAATTGACGTAACTTTGGAGTTTAACCGTTCTGGAGGAGTTATGCTTGCCGCCACGCTGTACTATGACTCATTTCTTTCTATTGTTCTTTCACGAGGATCACAACAATCGCGCATAAGGCATACTTCAATCGCTCCAAACAGATTTTCATTGTAGTAAATGGTTTGCCTTGCAAAGGCAGTTAAAACAGTATCCAGGCACTGGTATGAAAACACATTTGATAAATATTTATAAAGACCGAGACGATCAGCCCGATCGCGGCACCGCTGTGCTGCTGCGCCAGAACAGGTCTTTAGTATCTAACCGATTCGCTGCTGCCTTTCATTGGATTCTTGTTCCATCCGAATCTGGCTTAGTACAGCTAACTACAAAGAATTCTGTTACTTTCTCAAACCCATTCTATGAAGTCAGTACTGAATCGATACTGACTCATTATCAGAGGAACGAACACATCAAGTTGGGCCGATCGTACAGGTACTCGATCATGAGATACAAAAGCGTTGCGAATCTTGCTTCGAATTGGACAGTTGTTGCGTACTACTCAATCTGTTACGAAGTATGTAAATTACAAATAAAATTATCTGTGTATCTCAATA